TCCGGAATTCTTTTGGGGTAGGAAAATTTGACAGGTATTTTCTTAGTTGGCTTGACTTAAACTAAAGAACTTTGTCGGTGCATAGTTCTGTATAGGATTTTTGGGGTTAATTTTTGGTCCAGGGAATTTTGGTTTTTGATTTTTGCACCCATTTGGTCATCCACGTCTGTTAAAATCCGTAATAACCCTTTGGGAACGAAACTTGCTATGGTATAAAAAATAAAATGGCGAGTTATAATTGTGAGTACAAAAGATAAGAGTACAATACGGACTATCGTGTGCAACTTTTTTGTGTGTTCATCCGGGAGTCCGTCTTCGTCTCTTTGCTACAGATTAAAACGAAAAATACCACGGGGATAATTATTCCCCGGTTAGGCAAATGGTGTCACTTGTTAACTCATAAATGGCGTTGATCATGACTATGGCTACAATCTCGCTCTGTTTTGAGTTCTTTCGGTGTCGTGTTGATGTCTTGCAGAGTTAATTTTCACGTAGTACGGTCAGCATTGCAGTATTCTGCTTGCAGAATTTAATATGTCTACTTTTCACTTTTCATTTTTGCTGATCAGGTCTTTATGGATCCTACGTTCTCCGGCATATTCGTTTGCGGTCCTTTGCAGTCCTTTATGGTTAATGTTTGTACTAGATCATGACATTGCTCACAGACTTGTGAAATAGGTGCAAATTTGGTCGTTCCGTTCCTCACTTTCTGATGTTAAAAATGCTAAAAATGTATTAAATTTGTAGCTCACACTAATAAACCATTATGAGGTGCGTGTGCATCTCTCGGGTTGGCGGGAAAATAGGAATCATACTTGGCGGGAGCTAAAGCAGGGCTATATGTAACGGTGAATCCACAAGATAAAGGAATTCGTCCACCACAAATTTTAGAAAAAGTTTAATCTAGACAAAAAGTAAAAAACACCTTCAGTAGAGATAATGTTTAACGACTTCCAGTCTTTATGTATGTTGAATGGTATCAAATGACGGTTTTTTCCTCTCTGTATCTTTTATTTCATTTCTCCTTAAATTTCTATGTTAAAGGCTAATTGGTGATACACTATTAACAGTTGTAAGAATCTTTACCTTTCAGTTTGTCATCATCAAAGTTCATTTCTTGTCCGGTACCAAGTGATGTAACATCACCCTCACTTGCTGCTCCGTTTCCACTCTGTGCCATAATGGTTTGATCTGGAAAAATCGGTATAAAGCTGTAAACTGACATTATCTTTACTTGTATATAAAGCACTAGTACCAAAACAGCCATTCATTTTGTCACAAGTGGTAAACTCCACCACAAATTCTAGGAAAAGCCTAATCCAGATGAAAAGTTAAAAAACCACCTTCAGTAGAGATAATGTTTAACGACTTTGACTCTTTAACCACTTCCGTATGTTGAATGTTTTCAAATGACGGTTTTTTGTCTTTTCTGTATATTTTATTTTACTTGTGCTTAGTTTAGTATGTTAAAGGCCTTTTAGTGATACACTATTAACAGTTGTAAGAATCTTTACCTTTCAGTGTGTCATCATCAAAGTTCAGCTCTTGTCCGGTACCAAGTGATGTAACATCACTCTCACATGCTGCTCCGTTTCCACTCTGTGCCATAATGGTTTGATCTGGAAAAATCGGTAAAAGCTTTAAATTAATATTAACTTCAATTGCATAAGCACTGTTACCAAAACAACCATTCATTTTGCGACAAGTGGTAAACTCACATTAGTATAAAACTTTTATTGACTGAACAAATCAATCAAAATTCTGTGGCAGGCTGTCATGAAATGAGCGGTGAAGTAATTTTCAAACAACAGGACAGTAACGTAATCTGATTCAGTTTTCCGTTATGCTTTCATTCAAGACATGAAACTGCTTTCCAGAATTCAGTAGCTAAGTCGCTCAGAACACCCTAGTAACCAACCATTGCCAACTCACTTTCCGACAATCTCGGTGGCTGATTCAGTTTCAGATTTAGAGCGACGTTTTTTGCAGTTATTTTTTGTTACCCTAGTCAATCGACTTAGTAGCAGCAGGGAGTTACAGTACCACTTCAGTAAGACGTGACAGAACCATATTTGGAAACAGAATCAGGAGTCAATTGCAGCCATAATCCTTATAAACATATTGTCTTTTTTGGTGCTAGTGAAATTCGGTTAAGTTTACTTTTAGTTTTATAGAACGTAACGGGATAATCTTCATAATTTGCAACGGCTTTCGTCATTGGTAATACTTTGTTGATAAAAACTCGGGATAAAAACACTGTTAAGTATATAAATTCGGTTTGCTACTTAAAGATGTTTGGCTGCTATGACCACATCAACAACAACACTTTTTTTTACTTTCAAAACTACAAAAACTTAAGATTGGATTAACACTAAAATAACTTTTCAAATAGTAATAATAATAATAATAATATAATAGTTATAATAATTATAATAATAAATGGTAAAATGTGAAGGTGCTGTGGTTGCACCATAAGATTTCAGCATCCGTTATTATAAATGCCTTGCTAATTATTTCTGTTGATGGGTTCAAACGCATAAACAATTATCATGGGAATATTGTTTGGTAAACCTTTCTAAAACCGCAACTTGTCACACTATCAAAGCTGGTCTTTTGGCAGAAATATACGCATACGCAAAAAAAAACCATTGAAGAGCGGCTAGGGGTATACGGAACACCGTAACACTGCAAAGAGAAATCGAGAAATTCGACACAACCATGCTAAAAATCCCCGAACCAATCACAAAAACTTCGGCATGTTTAGAAATACCACAATATCAGAATTCAAGGCCACATTTACACAAGTACCGCATGAAAATTTGCCAAACACTACAATACCGCAAACTTTCTCAATGTAAGGTGCTAAAAATGTAAACCTCTACTATACTCTCCCCTCCCTGAGCCAAAACATTTGATTCCAAATACCCAACAATGGGTACGAATACGTCGAGGCAACGCAAATACCCAAAGGGGATGGTCACGCTTCAAATTTACGGACCCATTTGGTTTATTGCACACCCTTTCACCGGCGTTGAGGGTTCTTCGTTTTCGAGTTGAGTGTATTTCGGTTTCCAACAAAATACAGGGTACTTGTTTGTTTTTTCCATTCTTGGTTCTTTCCTTTTTACTTGTAGGTCTCTCCGATTCAGCTTCGTATTCGACAATCTGTTTTGCGGTTATGAAGTACGCCATAAGCAAACTTTTGATTAAGAAAATTGGGGTGGAACGAAACTCCAGTTGAGGTAGTCCGGATTTCAAGTGACGGCGATGATAGAAGGATTTTTTGGGCTTAAAATTTTCAATTCTGGGATTCTTTTGGGGTAGGAAAAATATGGCAAGTATTTTCTTAGTTGGCTTGATTTTAACTGAATAATTTTGTCGGTGCGTAGTTCTGTATAGGATTTTTTGGGGGTTAATTTTTGGTTCAGGGAACTTCTGCGGGTTTTGATTTTTGCCCCAATTAGTTCATCCACGTCTCTTAAAAATCCGGAATACTCCTTTGGGAACGAAACTTGCCATGGTGTAAAAAAATAAAATGGTGAATTATAATTGTGAGTGCAAAAGATAAGAGTACAATACGGACTATCGTGTGCAACTTTTTAATAGGTTCATTTCCGTCTTCGTCTCTTTGATGCATATTAAAACAAAAAAGTGATCATGACAGGGGTCATTTACTCCCCGGTTAGGCAAATGGTGTCACTTGTTCACTTGTTCGTGGCGTTGACCATGACATTGATCACAGAATAGTGGCAAATTTGGTCGTTAGTTATGCTCACTTTCTAGAGTTAAAAACGCCAAAAAAGCTAGAAAAGCATTAAATTTGTAGCGCTAGACGGAACTTACACTATTATCAAAGGCGTTATGCGGTAGTGTGCATCTTTCGGGTTGGCGGGAAAAAAGGAAATCATACCTGCTGGGAGAAAATTCAGCATTCCTCTGCCACAAATTCTACAAAATTCTAATCTAGATAAAAAGTTGAAAAACCACCTTCGACTTTGACTCTCTAACCACTTTGATATGTTGAATGTTTTTAAATGACGGATTTTTTTTTTCTTTTTTGTATCTTTGATTTCATTCCTCCTTATTTTGCTATGTTAAAGTCTTGTTGGGGATACAGTATTAACAGTTGTAAGAATATTTACCTTTCAGTGTGTCATCATCAAAGTTCAGCTCTTGTCCGGTACCAAGTGATGTAACATCACTCTCACATGCTGCTCCGTTTCCACTCTGTGCCATAATGGTTTGATCTAAAAAAATCAGTAAAAAGCTTTAAATTGATATTATCTTCACTTGTATAAGCATTATTACCAAAACAACCATCCATTTTGCCACAAGTGGTAAACGCACATTTCATTGAAACAAATTAATTGAAATTATGTCGCAGGCAGTCATGAAATTCGCGGTGAAGTCATTTTCATAGAACAGGACAGTACATGTACTCTAATTCAGTTTTCCATTACGCTTTCAATCAAGACATGAAACTGCTTTTCAGAATTTCAGTGGCCCACTCGCTCACGTCACCCTAGTAACCGACCATTGCGAACTTACGTTTCGACAACCTTGTAAGCTGATTCATCTTCAGATTCAGAGCGATGTTTTTTTTTTCAGTTATTTTTTTTGTTACGTAGTCAATCGACTTAGTAGCGGCATGGAGTTACAATGCGACTTCCGTAACACGTGACAGAACCATATTTGAAAACAGAATCAGGAGTCAATTGCAGCAATGTGCTATCATTAGAATGTCGCTTGTAAACATAAGGTCTCATTTTCGTGGAAGTGAAACTCGGTTAAGTTTACTTGGAGATTCATAGAACTCATTAAGGGAGATAATAGTCATAATTTGCAACAGCTTTCGTTATTGATCAGTGATACTTTGTTGATAAAAGTTTGTGATAAAAACATTGTTAATTACATAAATCCCGTTTGCTACTTGAAGATATTTGGGGGCTAGGACCATATTTACAACAGCACTTTTTTTTTTCCCTAAAAAACTACCAAAA